CTTCGTGGAAAGGCTGATGCCGGGGTTGGAGGGGGTTGGGAACGCACCACAGCGTGATTTTTTTTCCAGCTCTATCGAACAGCTATAAACACAAGCCCCTTAGGATGAAAAGCAGGAGCTGCAGGAGCGGGTTTTCCATGCCCAGGCAGCCCTTCCCGCACCGAAACCCCTCTAGGTGAAGCCTGGCCCGCGCTGGGAAGGTTTTATCCGCTCTTGGAGGGCTCCGTCTGCCCCAGAAAGGCTCCAACTTCTGGTTCCTGAGCAGCGGTTTGGGTTTTCCTCTTCCCCCAGGTCTGCGCAGGAGATGAAGCACATGGAGAACATCTCCAGCCTCTTCCAGGGCGACTACCAGCGGCCGGATCCCAAATCGGAGGGGGAGGCGGTGGCCGCTCCCGGGGAGCAGCCCTGGGAGATGATCATGGACAAGAAGCACTTTAAGCTCTGGCGGCGGCCGATCGAGGGCACCCACTTGTACCAGTACCGAGGTAACGGGGCTCCCCGCCCATACTGGTACCGAGGGGATGGGGCTCCCCACACCCCCCCCTGTAGCTACAGGGTTTCCTCAGAGCAGGGGTTGTGCCTCCTGCATCCCCCCGCGGAGGAAACCGGGAAAATAATGGGAATTGTCCCTCTCGTGGGTCCCAGCCCCTTCGGAGGGATCCCAGCCCTGCCCCCTGCCTTGGAAAAGGCCTTTTCCTTTCGGTCTGGCTGCCCTGAGGTGAAGATTTGCTCATTCCTGAGCCCAAAACCTTTGTTTTTACCGCAGTGTTCGGGTCCTACACGGACGTGACTCCCAGGCAGTTCTTCAACGTACAGGTGAGCGCCTCTGCGCCCTGTGGTGCGTTAGAACTAAAGCACCAGCTGGAGAAAACCGGGGAATATTCCCTTCTCTCTCTCCCAGAGCCGATGCCGGCCTAGATCGGAAGCGGGGGCGAGTTCTGCTGCGCCCCCGTCGGGTTCTGCCGCCCGGCCCCGCGGGAGGCGAAGGCTCGGCACGTGTGGGCCGTGGGAGTTGGGTGGGATTCTGGTCCCGCCGAAGGCTCGGCACGCGTGGGCCGTGGGAGTTGGGTGGGATTCTGGTCCCGGCGAAGGCTCGGCACGCGTGGGCCGTGGGAGTTGGGTGGGATTCTGGTCCCGCCGAAGGCTCGGCCCGCGCGGGC